CGCGTTCCCTAAATGAGGAAATCAAAAGGAGTGTGTGACTGAAAGAGGGCGAAGACAGAGAGAAACTCTGGGTTTACTGAGGAAAACCTGGTCCCGACCAGGTTAGGTTCACAGAGTCTGTTACTATGGTAACTGACTGCAAGGTTGAGTTACCGCTCTTTGTGAAACAGGCTAGAGTTACCCCTCTCTCTCTGGTTTGACTGACCCTCCTTTGTGAAACGGAAAACTCAGAGGTTCCCTGATTTCAGGGTTAACAGACTCTGAGTTTCCATTAAACCTGCTACGTGAAACGGACCTTTGGACGAAAGAGAGTTACTACAAAAGCAGAGGATAAATATAGCATTGTTACCAGTAAGAGAGATAGGCAAACGACAGCACCGAAAATAAGGGAGGAAATCATCACGACAAGGTCGAAACCCATAGCTCCGTGAAATGACATTTAAGAAAGGCTGGTCTGAAGGGTTGTGTATCTGCAAAAAAACACTACTTCGTCCACAGAACAAGAGAAAGAGATATGGGTGGGAAAAAGCTCACAAAAATTGGACTTATGATGACTAGAAAAAAGTTTGCACTGTTTGGTTCAAAACGCAGACAAACTGGTGAACGTCTGAAAGCACCATGTGTTACACCCACAATTCAGCATGGAGGTGGTAGTTCCATGGTATGGGGATGTTTTGCAGGTGATAGAGTAGAAGATTTGTTTGAAGTAAAGGATATCATGAAGAAGGAACATTACCACTCCATCCTCCAGCACCATGCTGTTCCATCTGGACTTAGACTTGTGGCTCATAAGTTTGTTTTGCAGCAAGACAATGACCCTGAGCACTCTGCCAAGCTCTGTCAGGGTTACCTAGACAAAAAAGAAGAGGAAGGTGTTCTTCAAAAGATGGTTTGGCCCCCTCAGTCTCCAGACCTTTCTCCAATTGAGCTTGTGTGGGATGAATTGGATCTATCGGTCAGAAAAACGCATCCCACGAATCAGCAGTCTCTTTTTAATGAACTTAAGAAAGCTTGGAATGCAATCCCTGGAACATACCTTAGAAAACTTGTGGAAAGAATGCCTGGTGTATTCCAAGCTGTTGTTAAAGCCAGAGGAGGTTACTTTAAAGAAAGCAAAGTCTAAGCAACAATAACTCAAATACCAAATAACTATAGTCAAAATGTCTTCTGATAAGTTACTCTTTACACAATAATAATAATAATAATGCATCAGATCTCATATAGCGCTTTATCAGAGACCCTCAAAGCGCTTTACATTGGATACATCATTCATTAGCTCACACAGTCACACTTTGGTGGTGGTAAACTACCTTAGTAGTCACAGCTGCCCTGGGGCAGACTGACAGAAACGTGGCTGCCATTTTGTGCCTACAGCCTCTCCAACCACCACCACACAACACTCATAATCATACACCAGTGGAGGACACACACTGGGAACAAGGTGAGTTAGGCGTCTTGCCCAAGGACACAACGGACAGACTTGAGATAGGGGGGAATCGAACCGCCAACCTTCCAGTTATTGGACGACCGCTCTGCCTCCTGAGCTACTGCTGCCACGATAATATACATTAGTCATGTATATTGTGTTGCAAAATATATATATGCAACTATGATCTTTTTTTGTACAAATCTGATCTTGCTTCCAAACTTTCGGCTTGTAGTGTATACACACACACACACACATATATATATGTATATATACATACTAATCTTGCATCATGTTCCCAAACAAAATTCAAGCATTGACATAACTTGCTTATAAAAGCTGATCTCAGAAGGATTAGATGAATCTGTTGAGTAAAATAAACAAAAATATAACTCCATTCTAGAGAAGATACAGGCCAATTTCTGAAAATGACAAGGAGCTGTTGTGCTGTAAACTGCATGAATTGGCAAAAGGATGGATGGAAACTGTTTAACATCCTGAGGGGATCTCATTCTTTTGCCAAGAGAAGAAGATTGTGGCTCAAGGCCATTAACAGAGCGGATTGGGGTCCTGAAAGTCGGAAAGGTGGCAAGAGTCTGTGCAGCGTACACCATAGATCCCTGTGCACGTACACTCAGGCATCATAAGGTTTTGCCTTTACTCCCTGTCTCTGGCTAGGCAGGACACCTGCTCTCAAAGCGCTAAACCCTGAACTCATTTTATAACATTTTAAGTTTTTAACGTAGCCACAGAGTACATAATTATACACATACAAAGATTTGTATGCACGCAAACTGTCCTTTGTGTACACACTAGGCTTCTCAATTAGATAATTAAATATGTCGAGCCATATCATAGCTGGCCATTTGGACATATCTGCAATCCATTCCTCACTCAAAATATTATATAGGTCTGCTAATTTCTCACCAGTGCTGAGGACAAGTTTGTTCAGGTAATCACTGCAGTCTGAGCTGCTGAGGCTGTTGATATAATTGGTCTGAGCCATCTCTGTAAAGAACTAGCTAATTTGCTGTCAAACTTATATATACAGTGACATCGGTGGTTTTTTAAAAATGTTTGCAGGCTGTGAAGTAGCCTCAACCTAACATTTTTATTTTGACTTTGTTAGCATTCACCAACATTAAGACCCTGCTCTGATATTAGAAACATCCAAAACAACGTCACAACTTGGTAAGTTGAGGGAAACTTATGGACATTTCAGCGAGTGTTTTTTTTATTTGTGATGCAATGAAAGACAAAGCGTTTTTTCAATGAAATTGCATTTCATTGCAATTGTGTCAGGGAGAACTTGCAAACAATATGGCATCTTCATTGATATCAGTTCACTCTGAAGCAGGCTTTTGCCCCCTGGTTGTGCGCACCTAGTATTGTTTGTACACATGAAACCCGTCTATAAACAATCTAATATTTTTGAAACATGCTACATGCCCAAGTGCAGTTAGGGCAACATCCCAGAGTTCAATCATGCATTACCCTCCTTTTAGATTATATTAGAGTATTTTAATACATCCAATCTTATGTAAATTCTAAAACTTTGCCAGCACTGTCAGTTACCCCAGGTGGATGTTCGTGCAATATTCCATTGTAATTTAGATTGGTTTGTTTCACTATGACTTAGCCCACCTGGAGGCCCCACAGTGATCTGTGCCACTCATTGAAAACCACTGCCCTAAATTTAATAAAAAATAAAATAAGAAATTGAGCCATATTTGAATGCAGTATTATTGGTTTTTTTCTATATGGTTTATTTCTTGTACTCAGGTAAATTCAATTACAGCTGGTGCTGTGGGATTCTAAATGGTGTTGACCACAAAGGTGTCTCACATCACTGGTAACACTTACTATGCATTAGGGGTGTCTATAATACATTTCCAAATATGCAAGTGCTACCTACCCCTTAAAGAAATGTGTGGTCATTTTTATAGAGGATATTTTTGCCCCCCCCCCCCAAAAAAAAAAATGATATTCCAAATTTCCTACTTCAGCCAAAAAGGCCCTTTGGCTACTGAACTAATATGAAAGATCTGTGCTCTTATTCTGAAATGTCAGGGCTGGAGGGGCATGGCTTGTAAGGCTCTGGGTGGGAGGTGCGATATGAGAGGTCTGACCATAGACTGTATATAGAATGGACAGAGTCTGCCTCCTTGCTGGGTGAAGCCACTCTGAGAACAGCACCCTCTGTTGATGGGCTGCAGTATAGGTCATAAATCCCGCCTCCGCCAGCAAAGCTTATGGGGCTGTGGACAAACTTTAGAAATTTATCACACAGAACATAATTTTTTTCTCCCCCCTGCTTGTGATGTTGACATGTAGTTATTGTAAGACTGGTTTGTGCTCAAGTCCTCTTTTTTCTGTAAAGCTCCGTTTTTAAAAGTTATTAGGGGGTTCATGTTTCTATGATTGACATCTGATATAGCCAATGGGCGTTCAGGGATTGCGTAGCCCTCCCGGGGGATACGCTGTTTGAGCGGAGCGTCGGCGTGGCCGAATGCGCGCATTGCTACTGCGCAGCGCTGGTTTCAGGAAATGAAGAAAAATTCCGGAAATACCGAGAGCTATTTGGCTTCAAATCCGTATACAGGCGGTAGGCGGAACCAAGTTGTCCATGGTATATACAGTGTATGGGTCTGACGCATGAGGCTGCAGTCTGCAGAGATACACTGTTGGAGGGATCCACTTTTAGCTTGTATGGCTGAGACATCATCACACATCATCACAAGAGTTCTGTTTTGCAGGTTGCCGATGGGGAAGAAATTGTAGACTTGACGATTTGTACACAGATTCGCGACAATTTTACTCTAGTTTGATCCACTTTGTATGAATTTGTTTTAGGAGCAAAATGCAAAACAAAGCATTGAGATTTGCACTCCCATTCTTATTTTTCCCTTATTATTTTTTTTACTTGCACAATCTATTTTTAGGCACATATGCGAGTGAAATGCTCGCACTGTATGGCCCCAGGCCTAGCAGCCTGGGCCTCAGTACGAGGGAGCTGGGGGAGGTACACACCAGGCTGAGGAGAAAATTAAGGATGAGAGAGGAGCAGAAAGAGCGCCATCGTGTGGAGATAGATGTGAGCAGTTGACACGAACACATGTCACCAGTTTTAAAAAAGTCAGGACAGATTTGTTGACAGTTTGTTTATTCAAATCTTGGGGGAGTTGCTGGTCCTTCTCTTGCCGGGATATCTTCTATTGTCAGACTTTTTAAAAATCAGTCTGAGTCCTAAAAACAGGACTTTTGGTGGGTGCACTTTGAGGGCTCAGTTTTTGTTACAGCTGGGTTTGTTGCTTTCGTCTAATGGAGAATTTTCATAAATCTTTGAACGTGTTTGTCATTTAGACCCTCATAGAGTAAAAAATCAATCCCTGGTTTGGAAAAGCTTTATTGAAGGGTTCAAGGTGTGACAGATGATAAACTGGATGTTGTCACTTTCAATTGAGTCTGAGCATCCCACCCGATCATTGCTGTGGTCCAGCAGTACAAGCAGAAGCTGAAACACCTGTCTGACAGTGTTGGGTCTGAACAACTCAACACTGTCTCTGAGCTGAAGATGGATGACCTCACCTCCACCTCGCTGAACCAGAACCAGCACATTGAGGCCGAGCTGGGGCTGCGTGGAGAAGTTCACAGCCTGCAGGCAGACTGCAGGATGAAGGAGCTGGACAGGCCAAACAGGATCAGGGAGTTCAGCCTGGTCAGTCTGTCTTTTCTATGCTTAGATTTGTCTCCTGTTTTATTGTCCACACCTGTCATCTATTTTTCTTTTCTACAGAAGCGCATGGTGGAGCTGATGGAGCTGGAGCAAGAGTACAAGAGGAGAGAGAGAGGTGAGAAAACTCATCCTCCCTTTTTCTCCTGTGAAAATCTGTCAACTGTCTAAACTCCCTCCTCTTTGTTTCTTTGAAAACAGAAATTAGGCTGAAGCATCAGGGGGGAAGCAGATAAGAAAAAGTGTAGCGAGGAGACCCAGAAGGTGGATGATAAGTATAAAGCCTGGGTGGTGACTCTGATAGAAGAACAAAATAGAGAGCTGGAAAAGGCTGATGAAAAGTCAGAGAAAAAAAAAGACTGGAGGTAAAGAGTTCACAAACATGACACAACACAACTCAATACTGTAAGATAGGATACAGCAACACAATGAACCTGATAAGATACGTAACCCACTGATTTGATCAAACATGCTAGGATATGATATGATTCAATAAGATACAATGAAACGTGATATGATATCACATTATAACATAGAATACAGCACAACACTACTAAAACAGTATGCAACAACAGCATTAAGATATAATAGAAGGTCAGTCTGTAGAACAAGGATATTCAGTTACATCTAATAGTAAGATTGTAGAATGGACCGATTTCTCGCCAAGCCCTCCTGGTACAGAGGCAACAGTGGCTGTCCAGGACCTAAAGAGATTTGTGTCATAAAGATGGTGTCATCCACAACAGATGCAAGTAATTCAGCTGTTTGAGGTGATGAGGTGGTGATGTGTTTAGTTATGTAATCCAAATACTTGTTGTTTGTATCTCAAGTCAATCTCAGTCCACCACACATCCGAGCAGAGACATAACTGATCAAACCTTCAGGAAATATTTCTCACCTTCACTCTGGTGTCTAAAACAGTTAGCATTATCAGTCATCCAGCTCCAACAGTTTCATAATCCACTGATTTATTTCTGTTTACAACCCATTCCTTGCGGTCAGCATCTCATCCATTAGCATTGTGTGAAAAAAATAAAAAGGAAACGTTTTTAGCGCTGTTTATTGTTGGCCAGCTCGGTTGTTGACTCCTGGGGCTCTATTTTCGTGCCTCGCTGGAGACGTGCCGCAGGCGCGGCGTAAGTCAGGTCCGCCGCGCCGACAAGGCGTTCCCAAGCACAGTTTGGTATTTTGGTGAGAGGCGCAGCCCGGCGTAAGTATCCCCCCTCCCTAACTCAGCTCCTCCCAGCAGCGTAAATCGTTGCGAGGGAGGAGAAAGGGCGTGGAGTGGGTTTAACACAGCAGAGACCTGTTTTCACCAATCACATAAGCTCCTCTCCTTGCCTTTAAATCCGCCACCGGCGAGGCGTATTACTATTTCCGTGAAGTAGTCAGAGAGATCAAGAGATGTCTGAAGACAGTAATGCCACACGATGGCAACAAAGGGCAGCAACTCACCAAGTGTCACTGTAAGCGCTGCATTGGGCGTCCTCCACACTCTCATATAAGCACAGATGGATTTGGTGTGTGTAATGTTGGACCCACTGGTAAGAAAAACACCCTTTTCCACTAACTAAGACACTCACATTAAGTTGCATATATTCAAACCTCACGTGACAAAGGTGGGTTGTGCGCACAGATCACAACATAAACTCCAAAAATGGCATCAAAATTGGAACCATCTGTGCGTAAATGACGCATCGCGCTCCGTGGCCTGGCTCTTTCTTTCATAGATGTTGGCATATAAAATAAATTTGACTCACAAAACTGAATATTATAATATCCGTATGTCGGCTTAAAGTAGATAACTCATCTGAGCACTGAAACAAATCATCTGCTCAGCCGCCACAGCAGCAGGACGGAAAGAGGACACGGAGACGTGTCCAGGTTGAGCTGCGTGAGAAATAAGAGGAAGAGGAAGAAAGAAAAGGAGGGAGACAAATTAAATATCTTGTTAACTTCATCATGTGTGTTTATTTACTAGATATTTAATTTAATTTAATGCGGTTTCAGCTGTGTTGATTCGGTCAGGTTTAGTGTCCAAACGCGTGCCAAACGCGCTCATCAGATCAGATATAGATCAGAATATATCTATATAGATCTAAATGTATGTGCTGACTCAGATTAATGGTTGTTGATGATTATTTTATTGCACTGAAATGTGCCTGACACTGTGGAAACCTGCCGGTGAGGCATCGGTGACGTATGCTGATACTCCGGCGGTCTACCAAAATACCACTAGACCAGCTGCTTTCCGCCTGCGCTGAAAGCTGACCAGGTTTGAATCGGCGAGCTTTCAGCGCACTTTACACGCTGGTGGCGAGCACGAAAATGTCACTGCGCCCGCTGATTCTGTCGACACCTCCCCCTACCACGCCACCACGCCCAGCTTGGCGGATCTCGGTTCACCTCCGTGCGCCTCAGTCCACGAAAATACCAAACTGGCTGTATGCCGGGCTGCGCCAGACGAAAATACAACTGCGCGGGGCTCGCCGCCCTCCGTCGCCTCACCGGCGTACACGAAAATAGAGCCCCTGGTCTTCTTCCACCGGGACATGGACCGCTTCACAGTTCCAACACAATGAGTTAGTCACAGCCTATCTGGACTTGTGGTCTGGACTTGGTAACAAGTCCGAAGAGGCTTTCCTGTCAGACTCTGTCAGGACACCTGAAGCTACAACTTTTTTCACACATTGCAAATGGATGAAATGCTGATCGTGAGGAATGGAATGTATATAGAAGTAATATCAGTGGATTATTAAACAGTTGGAGCTGGATGACTGATAATGTTGACTGTTTTAGACACCGGGGTGAAGCTAAGACATACAGAGGGGCAAAAAAGTATTTGGCAGCCACTGATTCTGCAAGTTGTCCAACCTCAAAAAGATGAGAGAGGCCTGTAATGTTCATCATCGGTACACTTTAACTGTGAAAAACAGAATGTAAAAAAAAAGAAAAATGCAAGAAATCACATTGTATGATTTGTAAAGAATTTATTTGGGAAAACACTGGAGATAAAAAGATAAAAAATGGCAAAAAGAAAGAGTAAAACCTGATGGACGAAGACAAGAAGATAATATAAAATGAAAAAATAAGTAAGAGCTCTTTACCATGTAAGAGGGTAAAAAGAAGTAATAACCTCTATGATGGGACTTAAGAAAAAGACTAAGAACAGAGATAATTAATAAAATGACATGAAAGAAACATTAAGAACTTTGATTAAAATGAACATTTGCTATAAGAGAAATATGAAAAGGCAATCAGTGAAAAGCCTGGTTAAAAAGGTGAGTCTTGAGCCTCTTCTTAAAAACATCAACAGTCTCTGCGGCCCTGAGGCTCTCCGGCAGGCTGTTCCACAACCGGGGGCCATAGAAACTGAAAGCCGCCTCCACGTGTGTTATTGTTTTAACTCTGGGTAAGGTTAAAAGGTCGATGCTGGAGGACCTCAGGGTCTACCAGGGTAGATATGATAAAAGTAAGTCAGATCAAATAAGAGGCCCAGACCATTAGTACATTTAAAAACTAATAAAAGAACCTTCAAATCAATCCTAAAACGGATGGGGAGCCAATGTAGCTATGCTAAAACTGGGGTTATATGCTCCCGCCCTCTGGCCCTTGTCAGCACTCTTGCAGCTGAATTCTGTAAAAGCTGAAGTGTATGTAAGTTCTTCTTGGGGAGGCCAGAGAGCAGGGCCTTACAATAATCTAAACGAGAGGAGATAAAAGCATGCATCAGCACCTCCGTGCTGGCCTGGGAGAGAAACGGGCGGACTCTGGCTATATTCTCAAGGTGGTAAAAACCTACCTTTGATATGTATTTTGATGTGTGGAATAAAACTAAGCTCAGAGTTGAAAATTACGCCCAGGTTTTTTACAGATTTGGATTTGAAAATCTTGTAGTTTTGATGAGTGTTTCTCTCAGGCCTTCAGGACCAATAACTAAAACCTCTTTTTTGTTCTGGTTGAGCTGCAGGAAATTGGCTGCCATCTAGGACTTTACCCTTTTAAAGCAGAGCTGTCGCCGGCAACAGAAAATGACATGCACACTTTGAGTACCGTGACTCTTAAACCATTTGCGCTATTGACGTCAGAGTTTTAGAGGTATCTTAGCAGTTTCGTTTATTATATTCATCATTATCATTATATATATTATTTTTACATTGTATATCATAGTATTAGAGTTCATTCTATAAGTTTTGAGTGTCGTTTCACTGTGGTGTGTGCCGTGTTCCGAAGCGACTTTAGCTAGTTTTCTGTAACAGTCTGATGCCTGACTCTGAATGCCACTTTGTGGTCGAGGTGGATGCCTCTGATGTTGGGGTGGGGGCCGTCTTGTCTCAACGCTCATGCACTGACCAAAAGCTCCATCCCTGTGCCTTCTTCTCCCGATGTCTGTCCTCTGCAGAAAGAAACTACGACATTGGTAACAGGGAGCTCTTGGCAGTAAAAATGGCCTTAGAAGAGTGGCGCCATTGGTTGGAGGGCACGAAGGAACCTTTTCTTGTGTGGACTGATCACAAAAATCTGGAGTATATACACGCATATACGTATATACGTTTTAACTTCACCCTCTCTTACCATGCTGGTTCCCGCAATGTCAAGCCTGATGCCCTGTCCCAACAGTTCCAGAGGACAGAGGATTCTGTTGATGGAGCTGAGACCATCCTCCCTACATCCTGCCTTGTAGCCACATTGATCTGGGACATTGAGGAGAAGGTGAGGGCAGCCACAGAAGGACAGCCGGGCCCCAGCTCCTGCCCGTTTAACTGCCTTTTTGTTCCACCAGCCTTGAGGTCAGAGGTGTTACAATGGGCCCACTCCTACAAGCTCTCCTGCCACCCTGGGATTCAACGGACACGGCATGCCCTTCTCCAACGTTTCCGGTGGCCCACCTTGCAAGAGGACATCCAGGAATTTGTAAAGGCCTGCCCAACCTGCAGCCAACATAAGACCTCCCATCAGCCTCCTGCTGGGCCACTACAACCTCTTCCTGTTCCTCACCGCCCATGGTCTCCCATATCTTTGGACTTTGTCACCGGTCTTCCCACCTCTGATGGTCACACTGTCATCCTGACCATCGTGGACCGCTTTAGCAAGATGGTCCACTTCGTGCCTCTGCCCAAGCTTCACAGTTTTTACAGTTTTCTTTAGTGTCAATAGTGTTGATTGTAATAATGTAGATAGTGGAGGCAGAAATGTTGAGGAGATCTGCAAAGAGGAGACTTCCAGCTCAATTTCTGGCGGAGGAAAAAGAGATGGAGATGCAGGAGGAGGCAGGGGGTGTGTCTCCAGTAAATAGTTTGCATACTCTACATATTTATTCCCAAATTTAGTTCTAATTCAATGATATCATTATTTGCATTCATCATTTTATCCATGAATACTTTATTTATTTACTGAATTCACTTATTATTTACATTATCATCATTATCTTAATCTACATTTTTAGAGATTTTTCTGATGAGGGGCCATCAAAAAGGACAAGGCGAAGTCTCCTAGAGATGATGCGCACACGATGCAAAGCCACCTACCATCCAAGGCAGCATATCTTTGTGGACAAGAAAATGGTGGCCTCAAAGGCTAGGCTAAAACTGAAGCAGTATATGCATGCCAGGCCTACAAAGTGGGGTCTGAAGTTTTTTGTTTTGGCTGATGTAAATGGCTACACCATTGATTACAGGCTCTACACGGGGAGAAATGAAGGTGCTTCAGGGAAGGGGCTCTCTTTTGATGTGGTTTCAGAGCTAGTGAACAAAGACTACCTGTTTACTGTGACAATTTCCACACAAGTCCTCTCCTCTTCCGTCACCATACCTAACAGGGCTTTGTTGCTTTTGGGACCTACAGGCAGGGTAAAGTTGGTGTCCCAAAAACCAGAGACAACGCCCTGGACAAAAAATCCCAGAGGGGCTCCATCAGATGCATCAGGGATGGAGACCTCCTGTTTGTGAAATGGATGGACACCAGAGAGGGCTCCATGTGCACAACAGTCCATTCAGTGTACACGGGGGAGACTGTCCTGCGGTTGCAAACGGCAGGCGATGGGCACAGTCAGAGGGTCCCCCTCGCCAGACCCACAGCTGTGGATGGGTACAACAAGTACATGGGAGGGGTGGACACCTCTAACCAGATGTTGGGCACCAACTCTGTCCACAGGAGGACCAGAAGATGTCCTATGACTGTGTTTCAGCACCTGGTGGCCATGGCTGCAACAAACAGCTATATGCTCCCCAAGAAATCAGCCAGACACAGCAGAGGAAGCCCATGACACGCCAGGCTTTCCAGGAGGAGCTGTGTGCGGAGCTGCTTGGTGTGCCACTCACTTTTCCTCCCAAGCCCCCCATGCCCCCCACTCAAGGCCACTTTCCTGTCCCCACCAGCAGAGGGCAGGCACTTGAGAAAGGGCAGAGAGCCAGCCAGGGGAGAAAACAATGCACTCTGTGCAAAAGGAGAACCCCCTGAAAGTGTGGAGAGTGTGGAGTTGGACTCTGACTTCAATTGTACAGGAATTGCTTTAGGGACTTTAATTCCTAAAAAAAAAAGCCTGGTTATTAGTAGACTTTTTCAAGCAATAACAGGTGAAAAGAAGGTTCCAGGAAAATGAAACTGCTTGTGTTGTTGTATTATAGTTCAAATAATGTTTTTGTCATCTCAAAATCTTTGGGCCTGTACATCATAAGTGCTCACAAAGACAAAACTTAAAAAGATTCAAATCCATTTTTTATTTGATTTGTTTTGTTGTTTCACACAGCATAAACATATATAATATGTAAAAATGTTAAATTCTTGAGAGATTTTGAAAGTTGAATTTATCCTGAAAAAAGGGGCTAAAGATTTGACACAGAAGACATCTTTTTATACATTTACAGCTAAAGATTTGACACAGAAGACATCTTTTTATACATTTACAGCTAAAAAAATGAAAGAAAATAATGACCAGGCGGACTGTTTATATTACAGGTTTAAAAGTCTAAAATGCAGTTTAAAAGGGCATCAACTGACCCGCTATCATCAGGAGACACGACCATGTACAGTTGCGTATCATCAGCATAGCTGTGGAAGCTGATGCCGTGCCTCCTGATGATGTCCCCCAGGGGAAGCATGTAAAGATTAACAAGAGTTGGACCTAAAATTGGTAATAAATAAAATAAATGATTACAATAAAAACTAAACATTACTACTCAATAAATTTAACTCCTAAAAGTTCATGAAACAGTCATGAAAACAGTTTTTTTTTTTTTTTTACAATGGCCTTGGGGTAGGGGTAGGCAGTAATCCGTTGAAGAAGCATCTTTTTTTGTAGTGTACTGTTATACGCTCTTCTAGCCAAGTAAAAGCAAGTATCACAAACAATCAAGGGTAATTCCAGTGTCTGAATTCATTAAACCCAAATCAGGTAATGAACAAAGGGGATCAAAGGTGGGAGGGAAAGCCGACTGTGTGGGGAGGAGTGCCAAACAAATGAACTTGAGATAACAAAACACGGCCCGCACTTTCTGACTGTCAACAAAGCCATTTTCTGCCTCCCTGATGTGATTGGTTGTGAGGCGGATGCTGCTCCTCGGTGCTGATTGGTTGTAAGGCAGACGCTGCTCCCTCATGTTATGAGGCACGCTCCACGTCCTCGAATAACATTCACAGGACCAAACAAAGTTAGCATGCTACAATATCGGACAGTAGAAAGCAACCAGAAAGTATGGAAAATTTTCGGAATCCTCCTTTGGCCACGACTGCCAACACAAGCAAGAAAAAAAGTAAATACCGGAGACTCTGGCGGAATAACGGGCGCTTAAAACAGAGGTAGACCACCCGGACAACAGCTAAAAAGCTGGGTCAACATCAATGACGCATAAACGTTGGGATCTTATGGACCCTGTAACCTTTCTGTTGGACAGGTAAACCGCTTTAACAAATCAAGCCAAGTGTCTGTCACAGAAGTGTTTCTTGTCAAACGGGACCTGGGGCCTGTTCTACGAAGCAGGATTACTGCTTAGCAAGGTAACTTCGAGGGTAAGTTCGGGGTTTCCTGTTCTACGACGCGGGTTCACTTTTTAGCGAGGCGAGTCTCCATGGCAACGTACGCTGAATGGCTAACCTGCTCCGGGGCAGGTTAAGTTCCAGATTGAACTCACATATAAAAACCCCGCCCACTGACCAATGAGCTCTCTCGAAAAATGGCTTGTCCGTTCTTGGAGGATCCTATAGACCTCGGTGCTTGCATTGTTCGAGGAGCACTCCGGCGCGTGAGAGTTTTCAGGGACCGCACGGACCCACTTACTTCTCCAGATGACCACCTTTATGAAAGGCTCACATGGCCTACATATCACACAAAAAATGTAAACACGATAGGAATGAACAAATGAATGAATTCATCTCGGAAATGAATGAGCATGGGCTGCATGATCACAGACAACATCTCAGTACTATTTAGTAGCAGCGCACACCCCTTGTAATAACCCCCGTAAATACTGTTGTTCAGGACTGCTTACTTGTGCTTCCTACCTACTGTAATAACCGTTGTTCTAGCCCACATGCAACATTTTTGTTCTCATTCATGAAACGCTTAAATCAGGGACATTTTCAGGGACAGCTTTAGCCGGGGACAGATCATCCAATTCGGGGACTGTCCGCGGAAATCGGGGACAAGCACATGTTGAACAGTGCTATTTTCAGGGTGATAATGGCATCAAAGATTAATTTTCTGTCAGCATTCCCTCCGTGCTTTTGCAGCGGCAACGGTGTTGCTTTTGAGGTTTATGATAGATTTGAATTCTTCATACTTTCTCATGATCGTCTCCTGCTCCTCGTTTGTAAAGTACGCGGTCCTTCGCTCTCTGGCCTGCTCTGACGCTCCAGACTGGTCCATGTTCGCGATTGGTCAGATGCGGCGGGCTCCGCCTTACATGCATGCACGCGCTCATAGCAAAGCTGGACCAACTTACGAGGTTGATAACCAGGTAGCTCCAAGGCTACCTCGCTAGGTTGAACTTGCTTCGTAGAACAGGCCCCTGGTGTGTGCTGTAGCACCACTAAACTGTTTACCTTAGGTCCTGGACTATGTCACTTTATCCTAGTTGTATTAGTCCTGCAAACATTGTGTTTGCTGGTAGTCTGTTGGCATCTACAGTAGCGCCAATGCTTTTTGCTTTCATGTTGACTGGGCCCCATTTGTAATTATCTGAAGTATTTATGTGCATTGTATCTGGATTTAATTAGAACGAATTGAGCAAGCAGAAGCGTCTGTTTGGGGGCGGGGCTTGCTGGAGCAGAGCCAGAGGGGAGAGGAGGAGCTATGGGGAAAACTGGTTGGGAGGGGTAGTTTTTACATTCAAGATTTCTCCCCAAAACTGGCACTTCCGCAGATCCTACCCCCCTTTAATCCTCCTCTTTAAGGGAGCCAAATAATGTGATTCATAACATGACTTGGGCTCGTTTGATCCAAAATGAGTCGTGGTCATGGTGGTCATTAAGAATCCAAACCAAACAGTCAACATCTTAAACTAATGCCAGAGGGTTCTATTGAAGGAGGAGAGGAGGAGCTGCAGAGGAGCTGGAGGCTAACAAATGCCGCATTAAAAACAACACAAAAATATTTCTACTTCAGCCAAATTTAGAGGAGAGGTTGGAGCTAGAAAAGAGCTCGGTGTTGCCGCGACCCTCCTGAGCATCAGCCTGGGACAGGACCAGTCAGAGCTGTGCACAAGGACCGAGGTCCATGTGCAGTGTCGGCTGGTCTGAAGACAGAAACAATGCAGATATTTAAATTAAACAAGCTGTAACATTTGACTGTGTGGTCAAGGTCATGAAGGAAGCATCTGTAACATCAGTATCATCAAGAGGAGAAAGTCAATACATTTGAATTTGTATTTAGTTTCTAATCAGCATGTTAGTTGTGCAATAGAAATAGATTAATATCAATGCAACCCCCCGTTAAGAATTGATATTTTTGGTTTGTCTATTTCAGTCATTTTATTTCATTGGGGGAAAGACTGTGTATTTTCAGGATTCAATAATAAGAAAATCCTCAGTTTTCAGTTTGAAAAAAACGGATTTCTACAAAAGGACAGTGTTTTGATTACACTTAAGGTGAGTTTTTCCCTGTCAAAACCATAATGAAGTTTGACATTTTGTGGTAGAAAACACACACTTGATTCATGGAAACATGAAAACATATTTGAGTGAAACTTTATCAAACTCTTAATTTTAAAGGCTGTACATAAGAAATTTCTTTTCACTTAATTTTGTCTGTTTTTGTAAGTTTTTAAATAGATTTACATCTTTTGTAAAAACTAAACGCAGAGATTTCTCACAATAACATGAACTTTTCTGCTGTTAAACATGCAGGACAGGACCACAGTGGTCAGTGGTGGGCAGGACTTTAGCTTCATCGTTCAATGCATCGCTTTTAAACTAACTATTCTCAAAGTCTCGACAATAACACAAGTTTGTATGATAATATTGTCATGAAATCTTACGGTCTCCATGTCGTCGATGTTGTCCTCTCTGTTCAGGTGTTTGCCGGAGGTGTTTGTCGGAGTTGGAGTCTTTAGTCGTCTGGGGAGGTTTTATTTACCATGGAGCTGTCAAAAGGTGAAAGTTTGTGAGCCACAGAAGTTTTTCGTGTCGATCTTCAGATTGAATCTTCAGAAATGACCAATCTTTATCGACTTGTAATGATTTAAAGTTTTTACATCGTCACAGGTTACCATGGAGATTTAAAATGCTGTTTACTTTAGAAAAACACTTACACTGGTAGGTTAAATCTAAAAGTTTAATATCAACTTTAATTCACTTTAATCTCAAAGGAATATAAATATCTCTTGAGGTAAAGTTGAGGTTATTTTCTGTCAACTAGTTTAAGAGTTTAAAAAGCATATTAAATCAAAAACTTTTATTTCTTTACAGAACTACCCATTTTTGAAAACTATATCTTAGTATGTCTCATAGGTAATCCAACAAAAACTGGAAACTTTGTGTTTAATTATAATTTCCACTAAATCTTTTTACTTATATTTAATTTTCATACCTTTAAATATGTTTTTCACAACATCTGAGGTCAGTAGATTTTCTTGTAAAAAATATAGGCTACTGAAAATAGCCCATATATTCCTATCATATCAATATTTTAGAGCAGTAGCTACATCTGTAAAGCACTTTGTAACCCTGTTTTGAAAAACTCTATAAGTTGATAATTGTTATTTTCCATAGCCTATTATAACGCACCAAAAAGGCCATAAAGATATCTAATTTTGAACTTCAACAAATAAAAATATCACATTGGCTGTGAGCCAAAATATCTTCTTCACTTCAGTAGAAAGAGGACTTTAGAAAGAGGAAAATATTCTCTGTGTTGTCAAAACACTCATCTGCAAACTGTAGTTGGAGAAAAATATTAACAATCCAACCGAAATGGCAAAAGCATTTTGACAAATATGTTGATAATCTTCAAATAGTAGAAAACAGATTTTAAGTCTTTGGACATTGAACTCGAGGAGCTCAGAAACATCTGGAAGTCAACAGTCTGAACAGGTTTTGAACAAAAATGATGATCTAAATGGTGAATGAAGTCGAAAGTTATTAACCCTCCTGTTGTCCTCAAGTTAAGACCGACATCCCATGTCTCAAGGGTCACACTGTCCCAGTCCACACTGACTGTCACACTCCTGTATTTCTCGCACAGTAAACCTGCATCCCAAGTCTCAGGGGTCACTCTGACTGGGGGTCTTTTTGACCCAGTGAAAGGTCCTGTAGTCCTCACACAGTAAACCTGCATCCCACATCTCATGGGTCACACTGTCCCCAATGTGGAAATATATACACACGCGCACACACACACGCACACCTCCAGCAGGCAGGCAGGCAGGCTAGACTCACACACATACAGGCCAGGTTGGATGCTTTTGACAAACTAGATGCGGGGTCATTTGTACCCCAAGCCCAGGGGGTGGGTAGGTATAATAATAATTATAATAATAATAACAACAACAACAACAACAAAAATAATAATAATAATAATAATTACAATAATAATAATGATGTCATTTTAATTCTAATATAAAATAATCCCAAACCTTATCTTTTTTTTGTCGTCTTCTTTTTGTAAAAATGATACAGAACTATGACCAATGACAATTGTGTTTAGATAGATAGATAGATAGATAGATAGATAGATAGATAGATAGATAGATAGATAGGGTGTGTGTGTGTGTCTGTGTGTGCGCGGTGTCCATCAATCCGTCTCCAAATTCTCAGCAGCACACTCAGCGCAGTATGGAAGCGAACAGCTTTTGCAGATATAATTCTTAACGCCTCGGACGACTGCCGCCAACGCTTCCGTGCGAAGGAGACGCTCCCTTCATTCTATCAACAGAGTCACCAGCGCCTTTCCCAGTCGCTCTAGGAACACCCTTCTCTTGTTCCGCTTCTGAGGCATCCATTCGGGGTTTAGTTCTCTCCATATCACAAAGGCATTGTAGGAGGAAACGTCGACGATGTTGTGGAACACGACCAGGGGCCAGCGAGCCGTCATCCTTCTACAGCTGTAGGTTCCAATCACCTTGTCCAGGTTATCGACACCTCCTTTGCAGCGGTTGCAGTCTAGTATGATGACCGGCTTTCTGTCGCAGCGATCGCTGACTTCGGCCTCCGTGTGCTTCGTGCTAACCAGCAGCACGTTTTTGTTTTTCTTGGACACATAAGAGACCGCGGCAGTGGTCGACGTGAAGGCGAATTTCGACGAGAACACCGCTCTTCCCTTCGGCGAGAGCAGCGCGAGCGGGAGCTCGGGCTTTTTTTTTCGAACGGTGCCAACCATGGTCATCTTCCTTTTCAGCAGCTGCTGCCCGAGTTCGTAAGAGGTGAAGAAATTGTCGCAGGTGATGTTGCGATCCCTCAGTCCCTCCGTGACATCGAGCACGACTCGCATCCCCAGGTTCTTTTCCGGGCCGTGGCCTGCTGCGCGTGGGCCCGGGTCTTCTCGTCCTCTTCCTCGTCAGAGGCCAGCCGCTCCCGGGGAGAGCGCTTTTTGTTGCTCCTCTCCGTTGATTTGCAGAAATATCCTCGATCCTGCGTTTCCATCCGTGCGCTACGCGCTCAGGCGTATTATTGCGCCTTTTTCCCTCGTCAAGATCATCTTCGGCTGTAGCCGCAGAGGCCAGCCGGCATACACAGTAACAGTAACACACGTGCACTCATACATACAAACACAGTGCCACCACTGTCTCTGCAGGTGATTTGCTGTGATGTGGAGTGGCTGTGTTTTGTGAGGCTGTCTTTTTTTAGAAATTGGGGTTTCCAGTCAAAAATGCTGAATTACCTGCCTGCTTCTGCCCTTTGCAATATTTACAGAACATGAGGTTGTTCTCAAACTCTAGCTAAGAGAAATTTGTAAACTTTGTTAGCACTGTCAGTAATACTCGCGCTTATCCCCTCTGGTTCGACACTGTCAGTTACCCCAGATGGATGTTCATGCAACATTACGTTGTTATTTGGATGGTTTCTTTCACAATCACTTAATCGACCTGGAAGCCCCACAGTGACCTGTACCACTTGTTGAAAACCACTGCCTGAGAGCAATTAACAATAACAATGTTGACTACACTATAACTTGACCCATTTAAACCAGGACAGCATGTACGCATTTCAACCTTCCAAGCCTGCGCACTTCTATTCAGAAAGCTGGGTGCATGTAGGTATTTTAACCCTTTAAGCCGGGAGAAGTGTGTGTGCATTTCAAGTTGAAATCATACCCATTTGCCTCTGATAGGCTAATAAAGCTTAATACAGCAATTGGATTCATGCTCTGATTTTGCCACGTGCTTCGTGAAAAAAATAAACAATGACGGAGGCAGAACACAGCTTCGGAGGAGAAGCATCCAGCAGTGTGAACAACCTTTTCATGTTGAGTGCTTTGGCTCACACTATCAGCGTTTTCTGAGTGTTGCATGACTTTGGGTGAGCACAGAGATGAACACACTGTCAGCCAGTTATTAATTAATTAATTTTATAATTTAGAGCTGCTTTCGTACTGGCACTATTCTAGGGCAGCTGCATACCCTTTCAACCCCTTATTTTTTATATTTACATTTGTATTGAATGGACACTTCATCATGACTGCCACTTGTTTTACAGAAGGCAAATTATTTGTTATTCTCCAGTGCAGAGCCTTTAGTTTTATTTATACAGCCACTTTATTTTATTTGAGTTTGTTTGTTCAAGGTTTTCAAAAATGTGAAGAAGGTTTGGAAAAATAAAAGAGATATTTTGAAAGCCACATGTGTAAGCTCTCAAATACTTTTTGAATTTTGTCTGTGGACCACTCTACTATAAGCGGTGCATGTTTCCGCGAGGTGCATGCAATCCTCGGCACAACAACAGCAGCCCGTTTCTTGGCCGGTTGCCCACCGTGCTCAGGGGGGTGGGGGGTGTCATTACTCCACACATGAATATCTTCAACTTGTGTATTTGTGAATATCTTCAAAAAACTGCGTAATGTTTCTCTCAAAAATAAATGCATGTCTTGGTTGTTCCACAAACACACTTTTAACAATTCACAAGCATAACTGAAGGTTTACAAATGATGAGTCATGATAAATGCACACACAAAATTTAAAAAAAAGTGAAAATAGTGGATATTTTGTAGATCTAAAAGACACGTGAAAATCCTGGACATATATTTGTGAATATTTTTGAGACAAATCTCTCCCCATAATATTAGGCTATATGAAACCTTACATCCCTGATGTTGGAATTGTTACAGTTTATGTGTCTTTAAAATGAGTGAATAAGTATGCAGAGCAGAGTGGAGCCCCTGACTACAGAGAAAAAACAGACAAAAAGATTGATGTCATTAACACACAGATCCACATTAATATGTCACATAACTGTGCAGCATTAATAAGCTCTCATAATTGATAGTTCTTATCTTCTCTTAGTTTATAAACAGCATGTTGAGGCGAGGCCTTGACCATGCATTAGACTAGAGCAAGGCACTAGACACCACAGCTCAGGATAGTTATCTGTGTGCAACTCCCTCACATCCCTTTGTCAGTGCATGTTGGTTGGTGCATAAATGTATCTGGTCTCTGTTTCTGGATTATGTTCAATACCAGAGTGTAAAAAGTTAATCCAGCCCTGAGGATTAATGAAGAGTGACTTCTACTTCTTCTTTTTTCTTGATGCTGTAGTGGCTGTTAGACCAAATGTACTTAAATAAACTCAGTTCAGGTGAAAGACTTTTTCAGCAGCAGCCTAAACCCCTCTGTACCTGATATTTTAAAAGGTTTCACACAGCAAAGTCTTTACCTGTGTGTGCTCTTTGGTTGGCTCATGGAGTAGTCACACGCACGCGAGATCGCTCTCCCAGACAAACCGCAATTTATACCCAAGAGTAATTTAAAATTCAATATTGTTTGATAAAAAACTTAGATGGATTGGGGAAGGACACGCCGAAACCAAAAAAACGACGAAAAAGAGCCTCCAAAACAGAAAAACACGACGACAGCCAGAGACAGCAGCGGTAAAGTGGACCAGGACAACATGGCGCCTGCGGACATAATTAAGGCAATCAACGATCTAAAAACGGATCTAAAAGGCGACAACAACACTCTGCGACAAGAAATCACACATCTTGGACAAGAAATCAACGGTAAACTGGATATGCTGGGGGCAGAAGTCCGTAACCTATCGGACCGAGTGGAGGAGGCAGAGTCGCGGGTGGAGACGGTGGAGAGATGGGCGGCTGAATCAACTGAGGCCTTGACCTCCTGCCTGAAACAGCAAAAAGTCCTGCAGCAAAAACTAAACGATTTAGAATCACGATCGAGACGCAATAACCTCCGCATCTTCGGGGTGGCAGAAGGAGAAGAGGGGGGAAACTCGGCGCAGGAGTTTGTCGAGGCGCTACTCCGGAGCAAACTACCGATCCCGGCCGACATGGAGCTAAAGATCCAGCACGCACATCGAACCGGGGCTCAGAGGCCAGCTCCAGACAAACCCCCGAGGGCATTTATCGTCAATTTCCAGGAGTTTACGATAGTTTACGATACGATGACCAAAGAATGGGTGTTAAAGGAAGCCTGGGGGAAAAACAGAACGGAAAAGATCCAGCTGAATAACAAGCCCCTCTACTTTGATCACGATTACACTGCAGAGGTGGTGAAGAAACGCAGAGAATATAACGGGATTAAAAAGGCACTGAAAGTGAAAGGAGTGCGTTTCCAAACACCTTATGTCAACATGCGCATCCACTGGGAGACGGGAGCCCGGCTGTACGGCAGCGCGGAGGAGGCGAGAGAGGAGCTGAGGAGACGCGGGATCACCGTGGAGGAGGCGACGCCGACCATCGGGGAGACCGACTGGGGAGCGCGCCTGGGAGAGCTGCTGGGGTCGTGGCAGAGAGTAACGGGACCCCGCGGGGCAGAGGACGACGTGACCCGGAGAGCGCGGTATAAACTTCAGAGTTTCCAGAGTGATAACACTGCTCAGAGAGACGAACCCCAGCGCAAGGGAGGTAAAATAAAGAAGTAGAAACCATCACAGACTGGTAAAACTGCTGCCACTTTAAAACTCAAATATAAGAGCTGAACTGGACAAATATAAGGCTTCTTTCTCAAGGCTATAGGCTATTGTTAAATAAACGTCTGGGAGTGACGACCTTAAATTTAATGATTGACGTTGGACTTTAGGATGGTAGGGTTTTCTCCTTTAGATGGCCAAGCCACCCTATGTATAGGGCCCTATCTTAGGGATGGGATTTTCCCTCGACCCACCAACGGGGTCTCGGTGAGGAGTCACCTCCTCCCAGTTTGGAGGTCTGTTTTTCTACTATGTTCAGTTAACATTGTTCTGTCTTTGTTTTTTTTGTTTTTCTGGGTTGTCTGGGGGACAACACTATTACAAAGCCATTCATTTCTTCTTATATTTGAGTGATAATGCCACATAAATTGAAAATAGCTTCACTGAATGTTAACGGCTTGAGTAATCCGGTCAAGAGGAGCAGGGTGCTGGCAAAAATGAGGAAAGATAAGTCCCAAGTAATATTTCTACAAGAGACACATATGACCAATTCAGAACACAAGAAACTAAGCAATTTTGGATACTCTAATACATATTATAGTTCATGTAAAAATAGCAGAAAGAGAGGGGTCGTGATAATGATATCTAATTCATTACATTTTGAGCCGATAAAAACAAAAAGGGATGATGAAGGTAGATATATATTAGTCAAAGGCAAGATGGATAATGTTTTGGTCACATTTGTGAATGTCTACGCTCCTCCAGAGAGTAATATATCGTTCTTTAAAAACTTATTTGACCTAATTGTACGTGAGAGTGAGGGGGTACTTGTTTGTTCGGGAGATTGGAACACTATTTTGAACTATCAGCTTGACACAACAAGCACGAGCAGACAGGGATCCCCCAAATCAAAATACCTAAATACTCTGATAAGAGAGACAGGCTTGATTGATGTATGGAGAAATATCCATGCAAGAGAAAGGGAATATACCCATTACTCAGCTACACACAAAGTACACTCTCGGCTGGACTTTTTTCTGATAAATACTATAGATAGACATAAGATAAATGAGTGCAAAATTGGAACAGCAGATATATCCGATCATAGTATTGTTTACCTCGATATACACCTAAACAGTAAACCAAGAAATACGCTATGGAGATTGAATGTAGGACTTTTAAACAATAAATCAACAGTGGAAGAAATCCAAAAAGAAATAGGAGAATGTATAGATGATAATAAGGATGACCATGTCGACCCGACTATTGTTTGGGACACGGTCAAAGCAGTTATGAGAGGGAAGCTCATATCAAGAACGGCCTATCTAAGGAAAATGCAGAGATCAAAATATGATCAACTAGAAAAGGAATTAGAAAAACTAGAAAAACAACTTCCTAAAAATGAAAAGA